TCAACGAGGACCCAAAAATAGTCAGTTCGAACACGTTCTTAGAAAAGAGATCAAGCCTGAAAACACGCTTACCCTGCGTCCCACAGAGCTGGGCCACAGCCGGCTCTCCTAACTTATCTCCACAACATGCCCATCTCGTACAAGGGGAAAACTGTAAAAATTATTGGGTTTTGATCCACTCTGATAATTTCTGTCTTTTAATGGGTGTGTTTAGACCACTGACATTTACAGTGATTCCTGATATCATTGGGTAACATTGGTTACTGAGTTCTACTAGTCGCCCTTTTTCATTGTTCCTGTATTTGTCTTCCACTTTTTCTGCCTTTTGTGGTTTTAAGTGAGCATTTTATATGATTCCATTTTCTTTCCTTTTTTAGCATATCAATTGTACTTCTTTTTTTACTTTGCTAGTAATTAATTCCAAGGCTAAGTTAAGAAATATACAGGATGCACCTGGAACATCTTACCACACCAGAAAACAAGGAAGTTATCAAAAACTTCTAGGATCATGTCGAAAGGAGACAATATGAATAAAACCTCACTGGCCAAATGTGGGACACTTTGTAATCAGTAAGGATAATAAATGCAATTGTATAAAACATAAAATATGCTTAAATTCAAGAGTTCATACTGACACTAACATAAACAAACCCACTACTTTAGAGCATGCTTAGGAACCCACTTACAAGTTTGCCTTCCTGTATCTCAGGATAATCAAATAATAAATAATAGAAAGTTTTCCTTTCTAGGAGTCCTAATAAATGAGTGATAGGATTAGACTATGATCATTTGCAACATTATTTTTTAATATCAAAAGTTTATTGCAGAAATAAGTAAATTAATGCCTATAAAGACCTACCAGCAAAGTTTAAAGCATTCTTTACACTTTTGAATGTATGAGTGAAAGTAGGGGAAATATTTTTTGTGCAAAGGGATTTTGCGCAACCACTCAGCTGGGCCTTCTCAGCCTGTGAACGGAGTAGGCAAAAGTGGAACACTTTTTTGCGGGTTAGCCAAAACGTTGTTTCTGATTTTTTTTCTTAATCAAAATTTTTATTGTATTTTTTCCATTACCATTTTTCCCCCTTATACTCCGCCCTCCCCCCAGCAATTATCACACTGTTGTTCCAAGTCCATGAGTCTTTTTTCCTTTTTGCTCAACCCCTGCACCCCTTAGCCTTTCCCCAAGAGCTGTCAGCCTGCTCTCTACCTATGACTCTATATTTTGCTTGTTCAGTTGGTTCATTAGAGTCCATACATGAGTGAATCGCATGGTTATTTGTCTTTCTCTGACTGGCTGACTGGCTTATTTCATTCAGTCTAATGTTCTCTACACTGTGGCAAAGCGTAAAATTTCTTCTTTTTTACAGCTGCATAGTTTTCAGCAATTATTTCTTCAAATAGGTATTTTTTAAAATGTCAAAATCCATTATAGAATACTTTAAAAAGTTAAATCCATTATAAAACCTCAGCAATTAAACAACCTGACACCAGCACAAAAATAATCAAGTAGATCAATGAAATAAAATGAGCATTCTAGAAACGAACATATATATCTAATTACGTAATATATGATTAAATTGATATTTCAAATCAATGGGGAAAATAAGGCTTAAATAAATAAAGTGCATGGACCACTATTACATGAAATAAAACAAATATAGAGCCCTAATTCACCTGTTATACACAAAATATTCAGGTGAGTTAAAAATCAATACGTAAAATCTAAGGAGTTTTAGGAGAAAATACAAAATGATATTTTTCTTACCCTGAAGTACAATATTCAAACCCAGAAGCTATATAGTAAAATATTGACAATATGACTATATTAAACATTTAAGATTATATAGTAATATACATATAAAAAGTTAAAGGACAAGTAATAGGAAAGTATTTGCAACATCTAAAAAAGTGTTAATAGCTGGTATTTTTAGGGAAAAAATTCTACATTTAGTCAAAAAATGGATAAAGAATACCAAAGTCACTTAAAGCTTTTTAAAAATAATAGAAATAGGCAAGAAATATATAAAAACAGGTTCAGTTTCAACAAATAATAAAGTAACAACTAAAATAACATCATTGTAACAATCAGATCAATAAGTATTAAAAATATTGGTAATATCAAGTATTGGTGACTGTGAAAGGAACTGGGTATTCATAGACTTTCTTCTTCTTCTTAAAGTAGTCCCTTTAGTATATCCTGCAATGCTGGTTTGGTGGAGGTGTATTCTTTTAACCTTCTTTTGTCTGGGAAACTCCTTATTTCACCTTCCATTTTAATTGAGAGCCTTGCTGGGTACAGCAGCTTTGGTTTGCAGGCCTTTGCTTTTCATGACTTACAAGCCAGAAGAGAATATTTCTTGCCATTCCCTCCTGGCTTGTAGTGTTTTTGTTGAGAAGCAGCTAGCCGTACCAGAGCTCCCTTGTATGTTACTACCACTTTCTCCCTTGCTTGCTTTAGGATTCTGTTTGTCTTTGATATTTGCCATTTTAATGATGATGTGTCTTGGAGTGGGCCTCATTGGGCTCCTCTTAAATGGGACCCTCTGTGCTTTCTGTGCTTTGTCTCTCCTCAAATTAGGGAAGTTTTTCATCATTACTTTTTTAAACAGGTTCTCTATCCCTTTCTCCTCTTCTTCCCCTTCTGGTATCCCTATTATATGGATATTATTATGTTTCAGGTTTTCCTGCATCTCCCTCAACACCTCTTCATTCTTTTTGAGTCTTTTTTCATTTTCTTGCTCTTTCTGGGAGTTTTTTTCTACCTTGTCCACCAGCTCTCTGATTCGATCCTTGGCTTCATCTAGCCTGCTTTTGATTCCTTCTACTGTGTTCTTCAATTCAGAAACTGTATTCTTCATTTCCTCTTGCCTCTTATTGATAAGTTCTATGTCCTTTTTCATGATTACATAGTTTGCAGTGTTTTTCCTCGTGGTTTCCCTGTAGTTTTTGGTAATTCTCTCCGAGCTCACTGAGCTCATTCAACTTCTTTAGAACCACTGTTTGGAACTCAGTATCTGATAGTTTACTTGCCTCTATTTTATTTAGTTCTCTTTCTGGGGATTCCTTCCCTTCAAATGGGGGGTGTTTCTTTGTGTTCCCATTATGTGTGAGACTCTTCTTTTTTGCTTCTGCTTCATAAATTGATCTGCCTTGAGTTCCTGACTTTGTGGTGTGAACTTCTTTCATAGGAGACGGCTGTTTTCTCTCTGGATCTGCCTCTGATGATGTTCACTGTTGACCCCGTCTGACCTTAGGCAGTCTTTTTGAGACTTCCAGGAATCTACTGTCTATGGCTGTCTCCTTCAGTTGTTAATCTAGTCACTCTGCACTCAGCAGTCTTAGGCACCACAAGGTGGGGCAGAGTCCCTCTTGGGGGCGGGGTTATTGTATCTTCTCATGCTGTTGCCGCTCAGGAGAATGGTCTGCCTGAGCAAGATGGCTGCTGGCTTATGGGGTATGACTCAGCACCAGGATCCTGCCAGATATTTTCTCAGTTCTCTCTCCAAAGCCTCCTTTCCCAGTCTCTCCTCAGGTGTCTCTAGCCCACTCTAACCCCACCTTTGCCAGAGACCAGGGTAAGTGGCTGCAAATAAAAATTTATGCATTGGACCTTTAAACACCTCTTTGCATCTCCAGCTGCCTGTGAAACCCTGCTGCTTTTCACAGCTGGCTGTTTTCTGTGTACTTTTTAGGCTCTGGTGCTGTGGGCTGTAGATTCCTGCTTATGGTTTAAACCCCACTCTTCTCAGGAGGATCCAACTGACCATTTCAATATCCCTCTGGCACTGCCCCCCTGTGGGCACCCAGTCTGCCTTCTCGAGTCTCTACTGCATTCCTTATCAGTTAGGTTGTGCTAAAGCTGATTCTTCTGTCTGTCCGAGGTTGTAAGGCTCCTCTCTTGCTATTTATTGTTCAGTTGTTTGTTCCAGGTGATTTCTCCACAATTTAATTGTGATTCCGGATTGGTCCTGGGAGGTCAGTGTGACTTCCATTCACTCCTCCACCATCTTGAAGTCTATCCATTTGCAACATTATTGAATCAGTGGGTCAAGGTGATGATTATTGATATTACATAAAGAGACCTAGTGGATGAACACAACACTTGCCTCCTAGATAGCAAGTACTTCTACCAAAAAAAATCAGATCTGAATCTGAATCAAGCTCTAGATTTACAGAAATACAAGGGACAGAGCAACATGTTAAACAAACCACAGAGATGCAATCAGCAAAATGCAGACTGGGAAACACTGAAGGATAAACTATATGGTTTCTGCAACCAAAACCAAACCAAAAATTGCAAGGAAAAAAAGCGTAAGTGGCTCTACTCAGAGGGAAAAAGAAACTTGAAGAGATTTATCATCTAATTATAATATGCCATTCTTATCGGGGTCCAAATTTAAATAAGCAACTATAAAATAATAATGACAGTGATGACATAAAACAATGTGAAAAAACTGAAAACTGGCTATATGATTTCATGCATTAGGGAGTTAGTCGTTAACTCTCTTAAGGTGATAATGACATTGTGTGTATGTATTTTAAATCAGCAATGTTTGAAGATGCATACAGAAATATTGTAAATTAAATGAAACAATGTCTGGGAATTTCTTTAAAATACTAGGAATATTGGGAAGTGTGTAGGGGTATAGATGAAGTAAGACTGGTCATGCATTGATTAATAAATTGGTTGAATGAATGATAAATGAAGTTCATTAAACAATGCTCTTAACTTTGGTAAATGTTTGAGAATTAGCATAGAAGACCAACGAGGAAAGCTCTAGGAGTACAATGAAGCTATTATTCTTATTAGATGTGCCCCCAAAGTGCTGGGCACACAGTATTAGATGAATACTTACAGATTCATTATAACACATTATCAAATTTTTTTAGTCACTGAGAATAACTCATAATTTACCAAAAACCCCTTATTATTCCATTAAAGTTATTAATTAGAACAAAAATGATCACAAAGATGTTTCAAAGAATAGGTCCAGTTTATTTGGCTAAGAAATATTTTTATATATACTTATTATTATGAAATTCAGGATTGTCACAAAATGTAAGTGGTCATTAAGAATTTATCAAATTGATTATTCTATTTTCAGTTCAATGGTAGAAGTATTCTTTAATTTATGTTTTCCAAATTAAGATGAGCAGCTAACTCTGAGATCTCTAGCCCAAGAGGGAGTAGGGGAGGAGTAGCCTGCTCTCTCAGCTGCAGGATGCTTCTGGAAAGGATGCCGGAGAACTCGCTGGAGAAGGTGGACCTGATAAACAATTTAAGTAGGTAAATACAGATTTTCATCCTCAAGACCTTTATTAATTTTCTAAATTTTCTAAATCAACAAGGTAAGTTTTAAACTTGTTTGAAAATGTTAAAACATTTTATATTGTATTAGTACTTCAACTATAGTTGTTATTTAAAATTTCTACTGTTCCACAGAAAGTTCCTCAGGTACTAGTTTTGTGCTCAAACAGGAAAGTGAATATGTACAGTGTCACAAAGACTACACATATACACTGATAATATTAAAAGTCACAGCAGTAAGAGGATTATAATTTTCTAAAACATCTACAAAAATTAATGTCAATAATTTTCAATCTTTCTAAATCAAGGGCATGGATTCCAACTTATGCTGCACCCTCATTTGTAATTTTGCCCCATGGTAATAAACTGAGGCATCAAAGAACACACCTCTTTAAACAATAATTCTAGTATCAAAATGTGTATTTTCATCTAGTTATAAAATAATTAAGTCATGAGGATGTAAGGTGCAGCATGGTGACTATAGTTAATAATACTGCATTGCATATCTGAAAGTTGCTAAGAGAGTACTTCTTAAAAGTCCTCATCTCAAGGGAAAAAAAGATTTTTGTAACCATGTATATTGATAGGTATTAACTAGACTTACTGTGGTGATCATTTTCCAATATGTACAAATACTGAATCATTACGTTATACACCTAAAACTAATATAGTGTTATATGTCAACTATGTCTCAGATATTTTTCCAGTGGTTTTATTACTTCCTTATTATTATTAAGGAAATGCCTAGTTCTGATAGAAAAAGGTGGATTACCTAAAATAAGAAAGTAAAGCCAAGAGAACAAATTACTATATTACTAACATTTTAAATAGAAAGACTGCACCATCATCAATCTTCGAGCGTCTCTTAACTTCTCCCCAGGTACTTTCTATACACAACCTTTTATTAAAGTCCGTTTTAGACCCACTAGTTTGTAAGTCTCCTGAATTAGTTTTTATAGTTCTCCACAGTGCTCACATAGAGTGGATTCTCAAGGAATGTTTGATGCAAGAAGGTAAACGTAAGTTGTGTATGTAAAAGGTTTCATGTAAAAGGTGTCACAAAATCTTTTCCCTTTCCTGTGTGAGAATATAACCTTTAGTTACCATTCTAGGCCTGCTGCCTGATAACCTGATGAGGTGGTGTGTCAACTTATCACCATACAACATTGCTTCTGGCTGAAAAATAGCATCTGGCATTGGAAAAGCGTAAATATATGATATAATGCTTAGGGCTTTCTTTAGTGTGGAGACTCTTAAGGCAGGTCTCTTGAGGGGACATCGGAAGCTACACTGATGGCCTCCTTCCAAGAGATACCGGTTTCTGTGGAGTATAAAGCTTTTTTATTTTTAAATTTTTATTGAATCTACTGGGGTGACACTGGTTCATAAAATTATATAGATTTCAAATGTACAATTTTATAATACATTATTTGTATCTGGTACTGTGAGGCCACCACTCCAAGTCAAGTCTCCTTCCTTCACCATTTAACCCCCTTTACCCCTTTCTACCTCCCCCTACCCTCTCTCTTTCCCTCTGGTAATCACCATGCTCTTGTCTGTGAGGGATTTTTTTTTTTTTTGCTTAACCTTTTTCATCCAGCCCCCCACCCGCCTCTGAAAACTGTCAGTCTGTTCTCGGTATCAATGAGTGTTTCTATTTTATTTGTTTATTTTGTTCATTCGATTCCACATATAAGTGCGATCATATGGCATTTATCTTTCTCTGACTGGCTTGTTTCACTTAGCATAATAATCTCCAGGTCCACCCGTGCTGTTGCAAAAGGTAAGATTTCCTTTTTTACAGCTGAGTAGTGTCGCATTGTAATGTACCATAGCCTTTTTAATCACTCATCTACTGACGGGCACTTGGGCTGCTTCCCAGTCTTGGGTGTCATTAATGACTCAACAAGTGCTGGCAGGATGTGGAGAAAAGGGAACCCTCACGCACTGTTGGTAGGAATGCAGACTGGTATAGCCACTGTCCTCAAAAAATTAAAAATAGAACCCCCCTTTGACCCAATGATTCCACTTCTGGGAATATACCCGAAGAAATCCAAAATACTAATTCAAAAGAATATATGCACCACTATGTTCACTATAGCATTATTTACAATAGCCAAGATTTGGAACATTAAGCTTTTAAACCAGGGCTGCCCCTGCATCTTCCCAGCGTGGCTCTCATCTTCTCAGACGTGAGCTTTAACGCCGTGCTTCCAGCTGCTTTGACCTGCTGCCAGAACTCCTGCCAACGAAGAACCTGCCGTTGCCCTTCTCCTGAGCCAGGTTTCTGTCCTGTATCTGAGTTGAGGGGGGCCAAGAGCAGCCTGCAGGTCTGAATGTTTACTTGAACCTAATTAGGAAGACACCTCCCCACCCACAGTGAGCACTGCATTATTACTCAAATACAGTTTTGAGGAAGGAAAGAAAAGAAGGAAGAAGCAAAAGGAAGTGGGGGGAAAGGGAAAAACGAGCCAACAAAACAACTTATTAAACAATATTTAGCTCTGTCTGGTGTGGATTGAGTGCTGGCCTGCAAACCAAAGGGTCACCAGTTTGGTTCCGTCAGGGCACATGCCTGGGCTGCGGGCCAGGTCCCTTGTGTGGAGGGCACTCAAAAGGCAACCACACATTGATGTTTCTCTCCCTCTTTCTCCCTCCCTTTCCCTCTATAAAAATAAATAAATAAAATCCTTAAGAAAAATGTTGTTTCCTAAGCTTGGACTGCTTTAACTAAAAATAAATGCTAAGTTATCTCCCTTCTCTTTGTTTTTCCTTAATACCATAAAAAGATTACATTTAAGAATATTTTATTTTCTAAAATGAAAACCTAGAGTTGTCAGGCTAATTAAAATACTGAAATAAAAAAGAAGTTACTACAAGTTCCAAATGAGAAATAGCCAAGTTTCTCTCTCATGTCAACTCTGACGGTGTTAAGTAGTGACAGCCCATTCATGACGAGCATGAGCCTGAGGCTGTGACCAGTTTTTGAGAGTAAAAGGGCCATGACCATCAACACGGCCTGCTCCGGTGCAGGACAGACGAGTGACAGCAAAAGTGCCAGGGCCATTACACTCCAAAAAATATGTATTATATGCAATTCATTTTTAAACAATTAACTGTGAAATATCTGAGGCATAGGAAGGTATGAAGAATTACAAAATGAATTTCTGTGTCGCCTACATTCAGCTTCAGGAATAAAATATTTCCATCATAGTTGGAGCCAAGTATCCTTCCCTGACTCAAATTTCCTTCTCATTGCAGTTACCACTGCCAGAGGCTGATGTTCATCTTTATTCACTTTGTTACTTGTACTATATATGTGTATATGCCTAAGTAATACGTAATATGATTTTATATGTTTTTCATTATAATTCAGTGGTAATGGGTTGTATGTATTCTTTTTCTACTGCTTGTTTTGTTTAACTGTTATTGATGCTGATGCATTTAGACCTAGTTCACTCCTCTTCCTGCTGTCAAGATTAGTTTCATTGGACCAGTTTGCTGCTGCCATGGTGCCTGCTGGAGGGAGGCACCCTCACATCGGGCTTCACTGCGTGTCAGAGATTGAACCCGAAGTCCCAAATATAAGCAACACACAGCAGAACAAGACTCTCAGATGCTCAAATAATGTACCTATATGATATAAATGAATATTTAAATTTTTAAATACATTAAAGAATAAAGTAGAAAATCTGAAAGTGATTTACGGGCGAGAGAGAGAGAGAGAGAGAGAGAGAGAAAGACCAAGCAATGAAAATTCTGAAGCTGGTGCTGGCAGTGGTCTGGTTTTACATGCCTGCAAACAAAATCGGTGTGTTTAAACTATGACATATTTAAAATGAATAAAAATAAATGCAGAAAAGTCAACCACCTTACCTCTGAAAAATCATTCCTTTCTGCTTTTTGCACTGCAGACTCTGCCATCCAGTTCTTCAGCACATATCTAGGATTAACATCTTAAACAAGAGGGAAAAGCACATATGGAAACCACAAATTACAAGGTCAACACAGGCTGCATGAAATTACAGCTGAAATTAGGACATCTTCAAGAACTTTGCTGGGATGCTCAGATGAGAAGAAATGATCAGCACCAGTCAGTCCTATTTATAAACAATGTACAGTATTTATTACCTTATGGTACAGAAAAAACTGAGCATTATGAGCAATGTTATTTTTCTTTTCAGTGTTTCATCATTAGTTTGCCTTTTTCATTATGTTCAGTTCGCTAAGTATTTTATAAAGCATGGAGAAAGTAGTGAATTCCTCTCAATTAGGCCCTTTATTCTAAGTGGAGAGGGGAAAGTTGCTGCTTTTAACATCTTCGGTCACAGAATTAAGGTCTGACTAGAAGGACTGCTTACTGCTGATGCTGCCAAGAGCACACAGGAAAGGTTACCCATGGACAAAACTCTACTTTTACATTTTTATAGAACCATGCATTATTTAATGTTGAAAAGTATTGTAACGCTGGCACATATAGAAAAATTCCAGAAATTATGTCTTTATTTGAGATGAGACTTTTCCAAAATATCAAAATATCTTATGGGTGGCATAAGAGAAATTCTAGAAGCCTCCAGAAATCACCATTTTGTGATTCTCAACAGCAGTTATCTGAGTTACCTGAATGAAAGGAACAAACAAATTTCATTTCAAGTTGGTTTTAAAGATCTGACAAAATACGAGAGATAATATAAAAATATAAGTGCCCTGCGACTCAGTCATTCTAATTCTCTAAAAATGTAGTCAATAGGAACAAATTTAAACATTAAAAATACTATTCATGTTATTAAGGAAAACTAGACACAGCTTAAATACTTAATAGGAAAATGGTTAAGTAAAACATTATATATCTTTTCAGAGTGTTATTATGCAGCCATTAAAAATGTTACATTATAAAGAATGAAGTAGCAAGAAAAACTGCTTAATTTATTTTTAACAAAAATAAGGTCTAAACTTATACCCCTGTATGATTACTACTACACTTTCTTCTAATCAATACACACACAAAAAGAGACTAGAAGTAATTGCATCAAAAAGTAAAATTAGAAAAGTTCATATATGACATTTCAACTCAAGTAAAATTTATTCATCTAGAATTCTTCTAGTTAAAAAAAAAAAAAAATCTCATGCCCTGGCCTTGTAGCTCAGTTGGTTATAGTGTCATCCCAACATGCCAAGGTTGCAGGTTTGATCCCCAGTCAGGGCGCATACAAGAATCAACCAATGAATGCATAAATAAGAAGAACAACAAATTGATGTTTCTCTTCTGCCTTTCTCTCTTCTTTCTCTCTCTCTAAAATCAATAAATTTTTTAAAAATTATTTTTTAAAAACTCGGTTCCCTCAAGTAGTTACTTCTGGTTTTCAAAAATGTTGCTTTTACATGATTATTTAAAGTTAAATAAAATCAAAATGATTACTTACTTGTCATTCTTTTTCTTCTTTCAGAATCTGAATCATTCATGTTACTAAAAATGAATAAACAAAAGACAAAATCATCTCCTGTCTCTCAAAATTATATCTTTTTTTCAAAAGGGTAGGAATTATTTCATAAGACAAACATTGAGAAAAAACATGTTAAAATCACAGTGAATCAGTACCTGAGAATATAGAAAATAATGAGTTGATTAAATAATATGTAAAATACTACCTTGTTTAGTTATTTTAGATAATACCAAACCTTTTATTTTTACAAATCAAAAAATATTTTTGTCTAAAAATAGTCTAGGCTCTGGTCAGGTAGGTCAGCTGGTTAGAGCATCATCCCAATACACCAACGTTGGGGCTTTGATTCCCAGCCGGAACCAACCAGTGAATGTATAAAGAAGTGGAACAACAAATCAATGTCTCTTTCCCTCTCCTTCTTTCAATAAATAAAAATTTAAAAAAATAAATATATGAAAATACTCTAAATTGACATAACTTTACTTATCTTATAGTTTTCTGAAAATATTTTTAGTTTTTCTTGATACACCGAGTCATCTTTATAAACAGCTCTCAGAGGCCATTAAACTGTGAAGGGGTATTTGTTCCTGTGTGTCCTGTGGTTTTCTTGTCTCTCCCTTCAGCTGCCTCTACTTACCATTCCCATTCTACTTACCATTACTCTGCCATGTTTGTTGCTTCTAATTAGTTTTAGGTTATGAAACAAAGTAACTTCTTACAACTGTATAACATGTGTCAATAAGTAAATATTAGAGGAAAGCTAGAGGAGCTCTTCTCCAGATTTAGGGCTTGAGAGACGGGGGAACTGTGCTATTGGAGAGTTGAGGTGAACAGGTGAGTGTCCTCTCCATGGGTGATGGGCTACTAAGATGCCCCAACCAGTGCAAAGTACATGGGAGTGAAAGGAAACAGGAAAAATGGAAAGGAAGGAAGAGATCTGATGAAGTGACTGGGCTAAAGTAATACATCACATGCATGTTTGTAAATCATTAGATTAGCTTACCTCTTCAGTCTTAAAAGGTACTGAGACACCCAGGTAGGGAAGAGTTTATGCTTTGAAATCATCTTCAGTGCCCAGAATTGCTAAATAAAAATACAGTAATAGAGTGCTTATTCTATTAATGTTTGTCCAGTTTGTTTTGACTCCATGTTCCTTTCAATTAAATTCTTTAATAATTCATATCCAGATTTTGTAAGGTATACTATTTCAAGTAGAAGTAATATTAAAAAGGAATAATATTTTTCTTTTCTTTATATAACATTCAACCCTAAAATTCTAATTTATGGAAATCCATGTAATGGCATGATTTAAGAGAAATTTTAAAAAAATACAGTTTTTATCAATAGAGATTACATACACATGAATACTTGTATAACCAAAAATCTTCCTTTAAATAGGAAACTGCTCTGGCTGGTGTGACTCAATGGACTGAGTGACAGCCTGCGAACCAAAAGGTTTCCAGTTTGATTCCCAGTCAGAGCATATGCCTGGGTTTCGGGCCAGATCCCCAGCTGAGGGCATGAGAGAGAGAACAGATCCATGTATCCCTCACACATTGATGATTCTCTCCCTCTCTTTATATAATATAAAACGATAAGGGAACACAAGAGACTATGAAATTAGCTCTACCTAAAAGTCAGGGGTTTGAAAAGTTTTCATATTCACAGGACAGAGAAATTAGTACTGAAATGATTAAAAGTGTAATGATCTCAATTAAATGTTCCCAGCTCTTAGTAATTTAAGTATCGATATCTGTCAAAAACTTGGACAAGTCACCTTAACATTATTTTGTCTCAATTTTCTACACTAAATGATAATTAGTGATTATCACTAATTAAATAATTAGTTGATATATGAATCATTAATAATTTTTTCAATTACATCAAAGATTCTTATTGGTTAACATTTTTCTGTATTTCCTACTGAATAGGTATACTTTTTTTTATTCAAATAACTACTAGAAATGTAATTTAAGGCTGTCCATGCCAATGAGAAAAACAATTTTTCTTATACTTAATATGATCCATACCACCTTTACAGTAACACGTGTTATTCCTCTTTCTCAAAGAATATTAGTTTAATTCTCATTTCCTACACTGACAGCTATTTTTGTATGAAAGTAATTGTAAATAAGTGGTAACAGTCGAAGCCTCTCGGTAGCATAGTTTCAATCATGGCACCTCTTCCTTCAAACCCTGTGTGGAGATCGTGCTGAAAAACCAGAAGTCTGAGATCTCCACTGATAGCTAATAATTACTGAATATCTATGAGGTGGGTACTCCTATTAACCCTGTCTTACAGATGAATAAGTGAGGGTTAGGGAAACCAAGTAACCTGTACAAGATCACGCAACCTGTCCTAGGGGGACCCAGCTTTGAAGCACCCAAACTGCTTGCAGGCCCTCTCTCCAGTCACTACAGGACACCTCCTCCTAAACACAGTGAAAATGACTGAAAAATCTACTGACAAATTCCACAGGACTCTATTTCCCAGCCTTATGACTTAGCCCAGGCTACCTTTCATTTGGTGACTGACTGGCTCGAAGGGCTGAGGGAAGAAGCAGTCCATCCTTTTCTTACGCAAGAAAGATGTAGCAGAGCTCGAGAACTAGGAGCATGAACTCTGGGGAAAGCTGCCTGTATTTGAATCCAACCAGACTTTCACTAGCTGTGTGACCTGCCACTAGTTAAGAAAACTCTCTGTGCCTTAGTTTTTTATTAGTAAAATAGAGATCACAGTGGTATCTACTGCATATGTAATGCCACAGATTATACATATAAAATGCTTAGAATAGTGCCTAGAATGTAATAAACACTCAATAAATGTTAGCTATAACTGTTATTATATTAATAATAAATTTCCATTGTTTTGTAAAGCATTGACTATAATTCCTGTCCCAGAATAAGCTGTCAATAACTGTGGGTTCTCGACACTTGTTGAAGGAGTGCATAAATGAGTTTTAATTTGTTAAAAAATTGTGAAAAGATAACATTATATAGAGAATGTCATGAAAGATAATGTTCTTCATTAAAAAAAATAAGGCTAGGTTTTAATCTCAGCAATGATACAAACAATAACTGCAACATATAAGACTGAGACCTTAAAAATAGATGTGTTTCTAAAAATCTATAATAACTAGAAGTCTTCCGGCAATACCCATAACAGCCCATAAATAATATATTCAATGTATTATAATTTTAAAAAGAATACAACACATATTCTTAAAAGTGAAATAAGTGCAGCCACTTTGGGAATAGTTTGGTGGTTTCTTAAAAAATTAAACATAAATTTACTAAACCATCCAGCAGTTCCATTCCTAGAACATAAGAGAAATGAAACACATGTAAACAAAACTTGTACACAAATTGTACACAAATGTTCAGAGCCAGCATTTATTCACAACAGTCAAAAAGTGGAAATGACCCAAATGTCCATCAACTGGTAAAGGGGTCAGCAAAATGCGGTGCAGCCATACAATGGAGTACTCCTCAGAAATAAAGGGGGAAGAACTACTGATATGGGTCACAGTATGAATGAACCTCAAAACATGCTAAATGGAAAGGCCAGATGCAAAAGACCACATCTCATATGATTACATTTATAGGAAATGTCTAGCATGTGAAAACCTTGAGAGACAGAAAGTAAATTAGCACTTGCTTGGGGCTGGGAGTTAAAACAGAGATTGACTCAAAGGGACACAAAGGACCTAAAGCGTGACAGAATTGTTCCAGAACTGAACTGTGATAACTGCACAAATCTGTAAATTATGAAAAATGATTATATTGTATATTGAAAGTGAGTGAAACTTTAGGGTATATAAATTATACCTAAACCTGTTAAAAAAGAAAAGAGAGTTAAGAAAAAAGCTAAATGTCACAAATTAATACCTGAGGAATGTTGAGCTCCTGTAACTGGCTTTGAGTGATCTCACTGAGCTGCCGAAATGTCATTGTAAAATCAGCTTCTGTCTTTTCCATGAGCTAATGAAAATAAATATATTTATCAATCTCAGTCCTTTGAAAAGATGCTGATTAGTAATTCAAATATTAATCAGAAAAAAAAGACAAAATGATAAACTCACATGTAAGAGAAATGCAATTAAATCATCATCACCCTTTGTTTCTCCCAGTAATCCCAATTTGGCTTTGAACAATTCTCTAAATCTAAAAGAAGAAATGTCAATTTAATTTGTTATTAAAATTCTCACTATTTTAAGAATTGTCCTCAAACCAACCAGGATGCTTTATTATCTGTATTCAAAAAGAATAAACCTGCCCTGGCTGGTATGACTCAGTGGATTGAGCACTGGCCTATGAACCAAAGGGTCACTGGTTCAATTCCCAGTCAGGGCACAGGCCTGGGTTGCAGGCCAGGTCCCCAGTTGGGAGTGAGTGAGAGGCAACCACACATTGATGTTTGTCTCCCTCCCTTCCCCTCTCTCTAAAAATAAATAAAATAAAACCTTTTTCAAAATACTTTTAAAAAACCATTTTTTTTAAAAAAAGAACAAACCTTGTGTAATAAAGAACAGGATACCCCTCAAGAATCTGAGTAGCGCTATGGGAAGAAAAAAGAATAGTTAAACCTTGATTTATAATTATCATTCTTGAATTATTTTACAAGAACAAAGTGAACCTTTTCATGTATTAAATAACATTAGATTATGTACTACTGATTCTGGGTTAGTGCAGCATTATTTACAATCACCAAGATATGGAAGCAGCCAAAATGTCCATCACTAGATGAGTGAATAAAACAACTATGGGACATTTACACAATGGAACACTACTCGGCTATTAAAAAAGAAGAAAATTTTACCCTTTGCAACAGCACAACAGATGGACCTGGAGAACGTTATGCTAAATGAAATAACCCAGTAAGAGAATGACAAATACCATATGATTTCACTTATATGTGGAATCTAATGAACAAAATGAACTAATATGCAAAATAGAGACAGACTCAGAGAGCAGCACAACAGCTGTGGGGGAAAGGTTAGGGGTGGAGGGATCGAACAAAAAGGAAAAAGGACTCAGCGACATGGACAACAGTGTGGTGATTGCAGGGGGTGGGAGGCATAAGTTGGTTTAAAGGTAATGGAAAAAATATAATAACATTTTCTTAAAAATTAAAAAAAATAGATTATGTGCTAACGAATCTGGTTTAGTGATTTAATTTTATATCACATCTTAGAGAAAACTATCAACACAAATTTACCATCTCAAAGGTTTGGATACAGTACAAATCATTATCATGTCATTCCTGAAACATTACTATATACAATCAGCTTACAGAATAAATGTTAACATACCAAAGAGTTATATAAAAGGGCTTTTGGGTATATTTTTAAAATCATCCTAGACCTAATATAATATATTACAAGTAGCTCGCCCAACAAAATAATATTTTACTTGTCTGAAAGGATGAACATATAATGAGATATTTCATATAAATATAAAAATTAAATCATTTTTAACCATAAATCCATCTTTAAACAAATAAAGTTTCTATTTCTTAACTGTCTTAAATGTATATTCAATTATACAAAACTCTCACATTACGAAGCTCCACTCCTTTTACCTTCCTGACCTTATCTCCTACAACACTCTCCCTTGCTCATTCTGCTGCAACCATCTGGCCGTTCCTTAAATACCCCCCTGCACGCTCCCATCTCAGGACCTTTGCACAGGCTATTCCCTTGCCTGTAGTGCTCTTCCCCGAGATATCTGCTCCTGTGACTCCTTCAAGCCTTTGCTCAAGTTCTTTGCTGACCATCCTTTTTAAACTACAAACCCTCCCTCCCTCCCCATACTCCCTACCCTCTGCTTTATTTTTCTCCAGAGTACTTATCTCCTTCTATGTTATATAACTTATTTGTTTATTAAAAGAATAAATTATATAACTTATTCTGTTTCTTTGACCAGAAGTAAGCACTACGAAGTCACAATTTCTGTGCTGTTTCATTCACTGTTATCCCATTAGCACTTGGAACAGTGTCTCGCGCATACTGAGTGCCTCAATAAATCTTTGTTGAATGAATGAATGAACTCTGCAGGGTAAAAGGGATAAAAAATTAATGGATACAAGGCTCAGATGAAGACTGCTTAATAAATATTTTATATGACTTTGATTTCAAACTATGGGACTGTATTATCAGTATAGTTTTAAATTAATTAAGAAAGCTATACATGGGATATAAAATTTTTTTATCTTTATTGTAGCAATGTTTTATTTGCTACCTGGGATTAATAAAATCACTATATGCCTTGTCTTCCATGTGGGGTCTTATACTGGAAATGGTAAATTTTAGATTCAGGGGGAGGGAGGAGAGTGCGAGGAAGAAATATGTTTTATCTCCTGGCAAATACAATGGAGACACAAAAATGAATAAAATGTGGTCCCTGCTTTCAAGAAGTTCAATGTCCAGTGGGTAGATCAACAAAAATCTTGATTTCCAGCCAAATGGAGGCGAAGGTAGATATATTTTGCCTCCTCACACAACCAAAAGAAAGACAACAAATTTAAAAACATAAAACAACCAGAACTGCCAGAAAATAAAAATGTATGGAAGTCTGACAACCAAGAAGTTAAAGAAGAAACATTCATCCAGGCTGGTAGGAGGGGTGGAGACGGGCAACCAGGGCAATGAGGATGCATGGCAGGATGGCAGCTGGTGGACTAGGTAGTCCCACATTTGTGTCCTCCAGGAGGGACAACCAGGGAGCGAGACAGACTGTGCAACGCAGCGTTCCAGTGCAGGAAAAGAAAGCTTCAAAAATCTCTGGCTGTAAAAACCTATGGGGGTTGCAGCATCAGGAGAAACTTTCAGCCTCACAGGACAGTTTGTTGAAGAGACCCACAGGGTCCCAGAACGTATACAAATCCACAGCACCAGAAGGGCCCAATTTGCTTGCAGGTAGCAGGGGAAGTCACTGAAAGCCAGCCGAGAGCCAAGCAAGCAACACTGTTCCCTCTGACCCCTCCCCCACAGACAGCACTACAATGCAGCAACCTGGGTTGCCCCACCCTGGTGAATACCTAAGGCTCTGCCCCTTGCAAAGTAACAGGCCCACTGGGACAAAGAAATAGAGCCCAAATGAAAGAACAGATCAGAACTCCAGGAAAAAATACAACTAAGTGGTGAAGAAATAGCCAACCTATCAGATGCAGAGTTCAAAACACTGGTAATCAGGATGCTCACAGAAATGGTTGAGAAATGGTTGCAAAATAGAGGGAAAAGTGAAGGCTATACAAAGCAAAATAAAGAAAAATATACAGGGAACCAACAGTGAAGGGAAGGAAACCGAGACTTAAATCAACAATTTGGAGCAGAAGGAAGAAATAAACATTCAGCCAGAACAGAATGAAGAAACGAGAATTCAAAAAAAAGAGGAGAAGCTTAGGAACCTCTGGGACAACTTTCAACGCTCCAACACCCGAATCATAGGGGTGCCAGAAGGAGAAGAGGAAGAGCAAGAAATTGAAAACGTATTCGAACAAATAGTGGAGAACTTTCTCAACCTGGCCAAGAAAATAGGCTTCTGGGTAGTCCAGGAAGCTCAGAGAGTCCCAAAGAAGTTGGACCCAAGAAGGCACACACCAAGGCACATCATAATTACATTACCCAAGATTAAAGATAAGGAGAGAATCTTTAAAGCAGCAAGGGAAAAGGAGACAATCACCTACAAAGGAGTTCCCATAAGACTCTCAGCCGATTTCTCCAAAGAAACCTACAGGCAAGAAGGGGCTGGAAAGAAGTAGTCTAAGTCATGAAAGCCAAGGAACTACATCCAAGATCACTCTACCCAGCAAAGCTATCTTTGAGAATGGAAGGGCAGATGAAGTGCTTTCCGGATAAGGTAAAGTTAAAAAAGGTCATCATCACCAAGCCCTTATTATATAAAATGTTAAAGAGATTTATTTAAGAAAAAGAAGATCAAAACTATAAATAGTATAATGAAAACAAACTCATGACTCTCTACAACCGAACCTAAAAAACAAAAACAAACTAAGCAAACAACTAGAACAGGAACAGAATCACAGAAATGGAGATCACCAGGAGGGTTATCAGCGGGGAGGGGGAGCGGGGAGAAGAGGGGAAAGGGTACAAGGAATAAGAAGCAATATTGGTAGGTACAAAATAGACAGAGGGAGGTTAAGAGTAGTATAGGAACTGGAGAAGCCAAAGCACTTAAATGCATGACCCATGAACATGAAGTAAGTGGGGGCAGGGGAATGCTAGTAGAAGGGGAGGTGCAGAGCAGAGAGGAATAAAGGGGAGGAAAAAAATGGGACAATTGTAATAGTGTAATCAATAAAATATAGTGTAAAAAAATTACCATATTCCTGGGCCCAGTAGCCGCTGGGGCCTGGAGGATGCAAGACCGAGCTAGGCCTCAGGTCCTCGCTCCTGAGTAAAGCATGGCTATACCGAAAAGAACCCTTAACACATTTTCAATAGTAGATTTTACCAAACACATTCTTTAATCACAAAATAGTGGACATAATAATTCCAACTACTTAGAAATGAAGAAACAGTGATAAATAACACTTGGATCTAAGAAGAAATAAACTAAAATTTCACAACATCTAAAGTAAATAAATAAGTAGGAAAACAACTTATCCTCATAACTATGGGAAAAGCCGAAAGTGTAATACGGAAAAATATGTAGTTTGAAATGCTGTCCTAAGTACAGGCTAAATAATAGGCTGGGTTTTTTTAATATATTTTATTGATTTTGCTATTACAGTTGTTCCAATTTTTCCCCTTTTGCCCCCCTCCTTTCAACACTTCAACGGTGTTGAAAAGACAACACTGTTATTAGTGGTAAACTCAAAAGCTTCTCCCTTTGGCTTTGGGTCCTTGCATTTCCTTCTCTTTGGAAAAAAGATATGAAAAAAATATATAACATATTTTGGATTTAGATAATGTTTTTATTTAATAAAGAGCATGAGTCAAAAAAAAATTTGCACAGTGTATCCTGAGCAAAAGAATGTTTTTTAACTTACCCAAATAGCCTCTCTCCAGAAGATAAAGCAGTTAGGATGATCTAATGAATAAATCCAGGAACAAATTGGCTTTCCTGGGCTGCTACCATGGCTCCCGCCAGAGCTGGGAATTTCATAGAAACTCCTTTCCCTGGACCCTTTCAGGATTATGTTTTGCCAGCAAAATGAACTCATGTGAGACTTGGAAAGCAGAGGGAAGTGGAGGCCAATACTCTGACGGTCAGGGCAGCCAGGAATGAAGATGCTAAGGTGCCTGGTGTACTCCGGCTTTTCCTCGGTCTCCCCCACTCCACAGCCAGCTCATGCTCCTGACTCCTGGCCCTGCTGTCCAACTGGGCGCAAGTTCGGTGCTTGGCACCAGGTTTACTGAGTCTCTGACTTTCAGAAACCTTGCCCCATGTCAGTCTTCACACCACTTTAGCAAACAGGTATGTAGGGACTCGGGCTCTTCGGTAAGCTCCGGCCTGTCCACAGTGCCAGTGCCTCAAGTGCAAATGCTTGGGACAGTCCCTGATTCCTGGTGCCTCCCTTCTACACCTTCCCTTCCCAGTCTGTCATACACCTGTGTAAGCCAGAGTCCTGTAGTAAGCCCCTTGTTTCCATAGAAAAATAAAAAAAATAAAATAAATGTCATTTTCTTGCTTTTCAAAAACTGATCATTATACAAATATATTAGTAGATTTAGGATTTACTCACAGCTGCCTTTGCTCCGGATCCAGTAGTGGGTTCATAGCTTGTAACAACTTATTTAAATTAAACATCCCAATATTGGCCTGATTTCCTATTTTATATCTTCTTTCATCATCAGATGTGTTTGGTACAAAATCTGTTTAAAAAAATACTACCTTTATACAGTGAGCATAATTATAATAAATAGCTTTTTTCCTCATTTTTGTTTGTATCTAAGCTTAATAAATTTTTATTAGATAAAAATCTTTCTGACATTAAACATTTAACTCAAAAGTAATATAAATACTAAATGCCAGTACATATGAAAGTATCTTACAATACGAATATTTTCCTAATGAAAGAATGTACTTCTAACCTACACGAATTTCCAGGTTATCGCATATGTACTTCAGACTCCAAAGTAGCATGTTGTCCACAAAGCCTGCTCTGATCCTTCTAGTGTTAAGTATCATATTATTGTTACATGCATTTTACAGGTTAGTGAATGAGAGATTAAATAACTTGTCCAAGGGCACATAGCCATTAAGGGTCAGATACCAGAAATCAAACCCATATCTGACAACATATTCCCTACTATCCTTCATGTCATCTTCTCTAATATGTAATTCCCTGAGGGAAGAGGTCACAAAGAACTCATTTTTGTATCCCTATGGCACCTGGAAGACTAAGTCCCACAGAAAATGACCATTATATGAATGATCCCAATTCTTTTATTACTCCATCATTGTATTAGCTATAACAGTTTAACTAAAATAAACCTGTAAAATAAGGCATATTTATATATACATATAAATCAAACATACCTGGGTTATAGGCCTCCATGAAACCAAATGGACCATAGTCAATTGTAATGGATAACAAACTGAAGTTATCAGTATTACAAACACCTAAAATTTTTAAAAAATCCAAAAACACAATAATAAAATAATAAAGTATTTTTTAACTGTATAAAATTATCCAGAATAGGAAAAGTCTTGAAAATAGCTGTTTTAGAAATGAAACAAATTGAGATTATCAGCTGAAAGTTTAACTGATAGAAGACAAATGGCTTAATATATATTAAAAGTGTATTTTAAAATTAAACTTAGCCTTTTGTTTTTTATTTCCCCTTCCCAAAAATTTAAATACTTTAGGAACAAAAGCCCCAGGAAATGAAACATTCGCTTATTTATCCTTAATTTCTAGCATTTGTTTAAAAAACATGTTATTTAGAATAGAATTGAGACTACTAAAGGAATAAAATTAATTGTCAAAGGCTGTGAAAAGCGGAAAAGGGGAAAATATGGATGTGTACTTCATGACAGTCCTGAGCTGCAGAGCACTAGCAGTGGGGAGGGGTGGGGGGAAAGTGACCTCTTAGGTGAGGGGATCGAGGACCGGGGGCGGGGGGGGGGGAGGAAGCCACGGTTACAGTAGACTAATATAGGCTATTTGGGCATGGCAGCATGGTATTCAATTAGAATTGCAACCTTTTTCAGAGCAAGGCAGCCCTGTTTATCAAAATGCTAAATGTATAGACTTGCTAGCCCAGCCACCCCACTTTTAGCGGTTTATCCTCAAAAACTTGGAAGATACAGTGATATTGTTGCATGGTGGTCACTGCGTCATGGTTCATAACAACAAAAACTTTGAAAAACCTACCCTGTTCCCACCCAACCCCAAGTGAGATACAGAGAGTGTGTGGTAATTAAAGCAGATTTCAAGAAGCTTTGCAATGTGGAATCGCCCTTTAGTATTTATCTAGAGACTTTAGTATATACAGAAGTTGCTTTTCAGTTATTCCTAGTTGAGGCAGATACTCCTTCCAAGGCAGCCCCATTCAGTGAATGACTTCAAACATACACAAGCCAGGCCGGCTATTTTTGTAGGAGACATACAAATATCATCAAAATAAAGTCTAGAAAACTTGATATGAAATGAGTAATAATGATTATCCTGGAGAATGGAACTCAAATCACTTCTGTGTATTTTAAATTCTTTAACACAAGCATGTAATGCTTTTATAATTAAGATTTTAAAAATACCTTTAAAGAGATCTAAATTTATATTCACAGGGAATCCTTATTCTATTTTTTATCTACTGTTCAATTCAAACCCATTTTAAATTTGAAAAATTGTTTATCTGTTGCTAAAAATAAATTCATATATTATAAATATTAAGAAGCTCATTGGCAGGAATATTTTGAAATACACAAAAGAGAAATCTTCTATCTCAACAAAGTCTATGTTCTCATTAGAAGAGTGAAACATCAATAGATAACTTACCATGAGCAAAACCAACAGACATCCACAAGGCAATAAGTTGTGCCGTCTTGGACACCACAATGGAAAAAAATTCCTAAAACAAAATTTAGAACTTTTTCAGATTCTCAGTAATGTATACTCTTTTAGGATATTTTGGTAAGTCACAAGGAGAACACAGAAAGAATTCAAAGGTGGGCCAACAGATTACTAAAGGAATAGAAATTATATATAGAAGAACATAAAGTTATTCATCTAGAAATAATACATAAAAGGCTCAGACACAGTACTATGACCATACTTTCTCCATGTCCAATAAGAAAAGGAAAGGTATTAGAATTCAGAGCACGGAAGTTAAATGTAAGCGAAGCGAGTTATTAAACTTTGAAATGAATCACCAAGAAAAATAATGGAATTCTCTTCTCTATGACTGTTAAAAGAATGAAAAGTAGTTATGAAAATCAAAAAATTTCCACTAGAATAGAAAATCATATTTACCTATTATGTGCTATGTTTATTTTAGAACTACAACTACAGAAATATCTTTATATCTGATGGATGAGAATAGAATATATGTAACCAATTATAAATGCTGCTCAAAAAAATGTTTACACTCAGGATGCAGTAGCACCTGTTATTTTTTTCTAGATAACTTTCAAACAAAACAACTTTCTTATCTATGCCTTGTTTATGATGTGATTTATCTTATCTTCCTCTAACAAAATGTTCATGATGCCCTACATTTCCTTTACTAAAAGCAGTTTTTTAAGTCCTAAGTTGTAACCACTAATGTTCTCAGGCCAATAAGAGAAAATAGAGTATTGCCCTTCCTCTTTAAAAACTTACCACATATCTATCAGGTTCTTTGACATCTACTGAGGGGAAATGCTCCCGTATGATGAAATCTAATAATGTCCTGGAGATTAAAAGGAGATAGCATCAATGTTCCTCAGAATATGGTATCAAATATCCAATCATCTAAATCTACCCTTGTTCATGAATTCATTAGAATCACATTTAAATTGTTTTAATTAAAATAAAAATGTACTCCCAAAACAGCAATGGAGAAATATTCCCTCAATACCAAATCAAAACTGGAAATGAGTTTCTAAGGTCATATTAGATTCCATCTTATTATGTTATAAAGTCACATTAGTTCAATAAGCATTGATGGAGTACCTACTGCACCTACTGCATGCCGAGCCCTGTGCGAGTGCTAGGAAGAAGAATGACAAGACCTCAGACCCAGCCCTCAAAAAGCACATAGTCGATTGGGAGGAAAAAACACATTAAAAACAATGACATTACAGCACAATATATGCAATAATAGAAATGTATAAGAAGTATAAAAACAACAGAGCAGTGAGTGACTATATGTGAAGAAGGTCACACAGGTTTTACAAAAGAGATCAGAAAAATCTGACCAACGTTTGCAGTTAAAATAATTAAACTATGTAGGTATTGTGTTTTTTATTCCCGATTTTAACTGACTGTTTTGGTTGACTAAATACTTTTGTTATTGCATTGCATAAGAGAGAATCTAAATAAAAAATTGGAGGTCGGAGATATGATTTGGGAATTACTAAAACCCAGGCAAAAACATAGGAGTGGATTAGAGTTGTAAATAGGCATTTTTCAATAATTTAACCATTGAATAACTTTAATAAGTGCTGAAGCATCAAGAACTGTTTCAGGCATTTAGGAAACAGAAAGGTATGTATAGCCATGTTAGCTGGTGGAGGCATTTTAAGAATGAAGTGGTCACCAATGTACATCAATGTCAGAGAGAGAAGTGAAATATAATTGAAATATGACCACCATGGAATAATCTCAGTGATATGGTGAAACCAAACAGAAGTGACCCAAAAAACATAGGAAGTAAGGAATAATGTCATGTGAGAGTAACAACTCTCAACAAGCTGAGATAACCATGAACTCAGTGAACATTTGCTAAAGTGAGAGACACACAAATGCCTCCAGTTAAGATGATGGTGTAGGTAAATGCAGTACTCAGAACCCCCCCACAACTACATCAAAATTACAGCTGAACTACAGAGTACCCCATCATTCAGAACTGCCTGAAATCTAGCTGAACAGAAGTCCTGGTAGGAGGGGTAGGATGCAGAACAGGCTCCTTCCACACCCATGTATGGCAGTTAATAATCAGGAGGGATACCTCAGCTGCAAAGGTCCCCACTGATGAGTGGGGGCTTCCAGCCCCACACCGTGCTCCCCATGCCCAAGGTTCCAGTGCTGGGAGAGAAATCCCCATAATTTCTGGCTGTGAAAACCAGCAGGGACTGAGGCTGAGGGAGATTGAGGGCTTTTGGAGTCCCAGGCATTACTCTTAAAGGGCTCACACACAGGCTTACTTGGACTCACTCACTCAGAGCTCCAGTACTGTGGCAGGACTTGCAAGGCACCAGAGACATACAAGATGGAACTAATTATCTGGCTTTGGGGTAAGAGCTGGAGGGGCAGCTTTCTCCCAGACAGAAGTGCTGAGAGAGGCCACTGTTCCTTTGCGGAGCCCCCACTGCCCCACAAGAGCCAGCAGGCAGGCACTATATCTGAGTCTTCATCAGCCTTGCTAACACTGTTCACCCTACCCTGAGACCCTGCCCCACCCAAATTTTGGGCCCACCCAATCTGTTTCCTCTGGCTTTTCCATACAAACAGCCTACCTTGGCTCATGCTGCAGCATTTCCTAAAATCTTTCAAAGGTTCAAAAACTCCAAACAAAAAGCATCTAGCCTCAGCATGCCCCATTATGCTTGCTTAGTGATCCCAGACCCAGCAATAGCAGCAACTGGCCTCGGTTCAAAGTTCAGCTACTCCTAGGCACTGCCAAGATCAGCAAAACTAGCAGCCATCTACAGTTTACTTGGCAGCTCATGTTATGTGGCCTTAGCAGGCCAAAGGTGGTGGCTGATCTTGGCTTACACCTCCTGGGAGCTCCCAGAGACAGCACACCCCTTGGAGAGCTTCAGACCATGCCAGAGGATCACCCAACTACCTCCATAAGCACCACACTGAATGGACAGTCTCGGTGGGCACAAGAGCACTGCTGAAGCTAGTTCTACACTGTGGGGTCAGTCCTTGCACAGCTGCACCTCCACTACAGTCACCGCCAGCTCTCACAGCCAACTGACCTGGGTGTAAATCCTTCCCATTAATTACTAACATCAATGAGGGCTCAACTACAACAAGAGAATGCACACAGCCCACTTCCCTGGAGTGCCCAGCTAAAGTGACCAGGGAAGCTGCAACACAGGACCCTATAGGATACCTACTACAGAAGGCCACTCTACCAAGACTGGGAGACCAAGCAACTCTATCTAATACATAGAAACAAACACAGGAAAACAACGAAAATGAGGAGACAAAGAAACAAGTCCCAAGTGACAGAAGAGTACAAAACTCCAGAGAAAGTACCAAATAAAATGAAGGCACACAACCTACCAGATTCAGAGTTAAAAACACTAGTTATAAGGATGCTCAGTTAACTTACAGAAAGAGTAGATGAACTTAGTGAGAACTTCAGTAAAGAGATAAGAAACATAAAAACAAAGATATAAAACATTAAAAAAATCAGAAATTAAGAATACTCTAACTGAAATAAAGAATATATTACAGGGAATCAACAATAGATAAGATAAAGCAGAGAATCAAATCAGCAATTTGGAAGAGAAGGTAGCAGAAAATGCCCAATAAGAACAACAAAAAAGCAAAAAAATACATCCAAAAAAAATAAGGATAAGATAGTTTAAGAAGCCTCTGGGACAACATCAAGCATATCAACATTCACATCATGGTGCTAGAAGGAGAAGAGACATAGCAAGGAACTGAAAACCTATTTGAAAAAATGACAGAAAACTCGCCTAGCCTGGCACAGGAAATATACATACAAGTCCAGGAGGCACAGAGAGTTCCAAACAAGGTGAACTCAAAGAAGCACACACCAAGACTCATCATAATTAAAATGCTAAATGTTAAAGAAAAAGAGAGAAACTTAAAAGCAGCAAGAGAAAAGCAAGTGATTACCTACAAGGGAGCTCCCATAAGACTGTCAGCTGATTTATCAACAGAAAACTTTGCAGGCCAGAAGGGCCTGGCAAGAAATATTCAACGTGATAAAGCAAGGAACTACAACCAGGATTGCTCTACTTAGCAAAGCTATCATTTAGAATCAAAGGACAGATTCCCAGACAGGAAAAGACAAAAAGAGTTCAACACCATCAAACCAGTGTTACAAGAAATGTTAAAGCATCTTCTTTAAGGAGGAAAAAAAATATCAAAAATATGAATAACAAAGTGGCAATAAATACATATCTAACAATTACTTTAAATGCAAATAAATTAAATGATCCAAACAAAAGATATACAGTGACTGAGGGGATAAGAAAACAGACCTTTACATATGCTGCCTAGAAGAGACTCACTTCAGATCAAAAAATACACACAAAGTAAAAAAATAGAAAAATGTATTTCATGAAATAGGAAATGAAGGGAAAAAAGCTGAGGTAGCAGTAGTTATACCAGACAAAATAGACACTAAAACAAAGCCTATAACAAGAGACAATGAAAGACCTAGCAATTCTACTTCTGGGTATTTATCTGAAGAAATCCAGAACACTAAATCAAAAAGACATATGCATCCACCCATATGTTCTTCGCAGCATTATTTACAATAGCCAAGACATGGAAGCAATTTAGTGTTCATCAATAGATGAATGGATAAATAAGAAATGGTACATATATACAACAAAATATGGCTCAGCCATAAAAAAGAATGAAATCTTTCCATCTTCAACAACATGGATGGACACAGAGCATATTGTGCTGATTGAAATAAACTAGACAGAGAAAGACAAATGCCATATGATTTCACTTATATGTGGAATCTAAAAATCAAAATAAGCAAATGAGCAGACCAGAACCAGACTCATAGATACAGACATTTTGATAGATGCCAGATGGGAGGGGGCTTAGGAGGATGGGTGAAAAAGGTGAAGGAATTATAAAGTACAAATTGGTAGTTACAGAATAGTCATGGGAATGTAAATGCAGCATAGGAACATGGTCAATAATATTGCAATAGCTATGTATGATGTTAGATGGGTATTAGATTTATTGGGGTGATCACTTTGTAAGTTATATAAATGTGTAATTACTGGGCTGATTACCTGAAACAAATACAATATTGCACATCAAATTGTACTCAAAAAAAATATTAAAAGTAAATAAAATAAAATAAGAGACTCAGAGAACGGTCATGTCAGATGTGATGATTTCTCTGCTCTGCTCATTCATTTCCCTCATTTCTTTTCTCCCTGTATTCTTCATGGATTAGGAACCTGGATTTACTAAACTGGTAACTACAATATACAATCCATATTTTAAATGATTCCAGTTTGTCTAAGATAATTTTTTGCTTATACATATATTTCTAATGTCTGTATTGTCTTAACAAATGGAAGCAGTATTCTTCTTAAAGGAAGAAATATTTTGGTTTCTTCCTTAATGTTTGAAGAACTATATTGCTAAGTCTTCTTGAAGATGGAATTTTGTGAGTGCAGACACATCAGGCACCAAGGTATCAGAGGATGGTGGAAGCTGTACTGCATGACACAAAGGGAAGAACGTATTGCTTTTGCTCTTTTGAAGTAACTATGCACTCTGTTCTTATATGCTTTGTGTAAATTTAAGTCTATTGGGGGGTTTTTTTCCGTAATGTTGAAGATGCTGAGTTTCACATCTGGGTAAATCCAGTGTGAAACAGACATAACACACATCAAAACTAAAGTCCAGGGAAGAAGAGACATGAGACAGAGAACACATGCTGGGAATCCCAGAAATTGGGAGCAGAGCTTTGGACCTCTTGAGGTTGAAGAAATAAGGAGTTTGAATCACTTCCCCCTGGGTCCCTGAGCAGCACAGAGGCCCTCAGCTGCAACTGGGTGCATACTAGACAAAAAATTCCTTAAGAAAGGGTCTACTGGGTCCTACATTTCTCTTTTATCCTTTTAGAAAACCCACACGATGTTAGACACATAACAAGTGTTTAAAATATTTATTAATTTAAATTTTGGATTTTACTTTTAAGAAAACCAAAAATATTTTAATTTCCCAGCACATAAATAAGCATTTTTTCCAATTATTTTCTATCATTAAAAAAAATGCCATTTTCTAACCTTAATAAATCCAGTTCACCATAATGAGCCAAAATTTCTAAAGATCCAATTCTAAACCATGATTTTGCAACACGAAGCACTACCGCACCTGCAAAAGAAACATTTATTTCAGCATAAACTATTTCAAACTATGGAGACGTAGCCTAATGTGCTTTTCTTCTTTTTTCAATACTCATTTGAGGATATATTTTTACCGATTTTAGAGAGAGAGGAAGGGAGAGAGGAAAAAAATCAATGTTAAGAGAGAAACATCAGTCGGTTGCCTCCGTATGCACCCTGACCAGGATCAAACCTGCAACCTTTTGGTGTATAGGATCATGCTCTTACGGAGCCACCCATCTGGGGCCTAATATGCTTTTCTTTAAAATAAAATTATTTTAATAAAAAAAGAATTCAATATCTGTATTTATTGAAAAAAATAACTAATTTACACCTTTGAAAGGATCAAGGAATTTTTCTCTATCTCATTAAGCCTGAGTCAGTTAGAATGCTAGGAACCAGAACACTTTCAGAAATACAGAGGCTCTAACCTAGCTGAAGGCTGCTCAGTTAAATCGTTAGGCCCCAAACATCCGGGTTCCACTGTCTCCTTGATTGTAAACTTTTCCCTGTACCTCATCCTGAGTCAGTGAATTAGGAATTATTTCTATGGCATAGTCTCTGCAAGTGCCTTTCATTTGTGTAACTAACTGAAAATTAACTTCAATTACTAAATATTTACATGTGTTCTAACTTAGGAATATACTGAAGGAATAAAGTGAATCTTCGCATTTCCTGTTTGTTGCTTTCTATTGCTGCCTTCGGTTTTGATTATAGATATTAGTAACACAATTAATAAATAGCATTCATGTTTCTTATAAGGAATACTTACTTATCTGTGTTTTGATAGGAAGATGCAGGTTATCCCAGGTGCTACCACTGTCTTGGTGCCATCCCTCAATAGGCTTCCTGTGGCCTCTGGGCCTTTGTGCTAGTCTCCCCTGCTCCACTTGTCCCACTCCCTCTTCCCCCTCATACTGAAATCTTTCCTAATCTTAGGTAATCGCCAGGGAGGGGCAACCCGTGTCACTGCTCTATTGATCTGTGTGGGGAGAGCCCGCAGCGGGAACAATGCCGCTGCCTGGCCTCTGGAGTTTTGCCTGGGAGGCAGCTGTCTCCCCACTGGCACTTTGCTTTCTCCCCACACGTCACTGGTGCCCTTTCGGGTGTTGCCCTGGTGCTGAACCCCAGAGGGCGTGGGTCTGCGTGAGTCCTAAATCTGCTGCGGGACACTTAATAGGATGCAGTTTCTGACCCTCCTACCTGTCTGGATGAATGTGGCTTCTTTAAATCTTTGGTTGTCAGACTTCCACCCAGCTCAATTTTCTGACAATTCTGGGTGATACTTGTTTTGTATGTAGCTGTATTTGTTGCTATATTTGTGCGCGGAGGTGAGATGTGTTTACCTATACCTCTGTCTTGACCAGAAGTGAAGAGTGAATTTCTTAGGCCTAGGACTATGATATATACTTACTACTCCCGGACCCCTTAGAGTTTAGTCTAATGGAAGGCAGAAAAGAGTCAATTAGCATTTTCTTGGTTAACTGAATTACCATATAGTCAGTATTTATTCACAATATTAATTTGAACATTTATTTTTATGTGGATTTTTTTGGAGCAATAAAAATGTAGTCACTTTGAAAAAACATAAGAGCTCAATATGTTATTCTAATGTTTATTTAATGAATAGCCATTGAATCACTGAATGTTAGCAATGAAAGACACAAAAGGTATCATCTAATCTAACCATCTCATTTTAGATGGAGGAACAGTGACAGAATGTGACTTGCCCAAGTCATAAATCAATTCCCACAGAACCAGTTCTAGGTTTCACATATTCTTTCTGTCTGTCCAGCACTCTTCTCACTGTATCCCTGGGCTGCTGGGCAAATATTACGATAAAAGCACAACTGAGATATCTGTATATATGTGAACAGTTAGATATAGAAATTATAGTAATGCCCTAAAAAGGAGAAATACTTGGGACCATTTGAAACTATGAAGATTGTGATTCGGAATTAGGATTAACTATATATATAAGTTACAGCCAGAGAAGTAAGTAGTATTGTATCCATCATATGATCAGTCTATAGTTAGACTCTCATTTCCAATCACCATTAACAAAAAGACCTAAATAGTGGTTATAGGCTTGTGTGCAATAGTATCCATATTACCCAGATGAAACTAAGGGCAGAGAGAGATGCCACAAAAAATAATAATAATAATAATAACCCTCAATTCCTGTAAGTATGAATACTTTGGGGAGATTGTTTTTTATGAAAATCTTATCAAAATATATTATGCACTAAGTACAAAGAACATGAAATGTGCTATGGTAAATCACTATGAATCTCAGTATAAACGCTGCCCTGTGAAACAGTGAGCCAATAAAGCACGTAAGGTTGCCAGCAGTGCTTGATAGCTCTGCTTCTAAAAGCAGTTAAGTATGTTTATTATCTATTTTCAGGTCCCCTTATTCCCCAGAGACTCAGAGCCGAATCTCTCCCTCTCTCCCTTTTTGCTGTTCTGCAGCACACTTTCTCACCCCCTTTCCAGGTCGGTTGGTTTGTTTGTTTTAATTTCTAACCTAGTAAAGGCTGAGGAAAAAGTTAATTGAACTTACTGGAAGTAAACATGAAGTAAGAACAACCATGCTCTGAAGAAATGTCCCTGGGCTCTCCTGGAGGACGGTGTATGAACTTCCCTGTACTGGCTTTGTAACATTTTGTCAACTGTCCACAAACATTCACTTCCCAGATGTTTGCTCTTTGTAATGGATGGATTAGTGATGTAAAGATGTGGGAAAAGAAATTCTATTATAATATCATAACACTGAAATATCTGGAAGAACCACAGGTGATTTTTTAAGAAAACCAAAAAGACTTCCAATACCTGTTGTTCTTTAAGAACTTAGTTTTGTATCCTTATGTTCAATGCAGCACTATTCACAACAGCCAAGATCTGGAAGCAGCCCAAGTGTCCATCCAAAAATAAGGAAATCTTACCTTATGCAACAGCACGGATAGACCTGGAGAGCATTATGCTAAGTAAAATAAGCCAGTCATAGAGAGAAAAGTACCATACGATCTTACTCATAAGTAAAAATCTAATGAACAAAATAAACTAATAAACAAAATAGAAACAGACTCATTGATAGAGAACAGTCTACTGTCAGAAGAGAGGAGGGCTGCAGTTCAGGGTGAAAAAGGTGAAAGGATTAAGGGAAAAAACTCATAGACACAGACAACAGCATGGTGACTACCAGAGGGAAAGGGAGGTAAGGGGAGGAAGAAGAGGGTAAAGGGGGATGAATGGTGGTGGAAGGAGACTTGACTTGGGGTAATGAACACACAATACAATATACAGATGATGTATTATAGAATTATAAACCTGAAATCTATATAATTTTATTAATCAACATCATACAAATAAATTCAATAAAACAGTAAAAAAAAGAAAAAAAGAAAAAAAATGAACTTAGGACCTGGCTGTGTAGCTGTTTGTTAGAGTGTGTTTTCCTGACACACCAAGGTCGTGGGTTCAATCCCCAGTCAGGGCACATACAAGAATAAACCAGTAAGTGCATAAATAAGTGGAACAACAAATCAATGTCTCTCTGTCTCTTTCTCTCTCCCCCGTCCTCTCTCTCAAAAGTCAATTTTATATAAAATTTAAAAATATAAAATTTATATATATATAAAATTTAAAAATGGTTATTACCTCGTTCTTTCACAATGTTTCCATTGTAGAACTGATCTCTCCATACATCGTCATCACTTACAACCAGACTGGAACATAAGAAAATCAAACAAATAAAGTTACACTTTAACAGCAAGCAAGCTCTCAAAAAGCACCTAAAACTATTAGAAACTGTAAGCAGAAACTTATCTGATCAGTGTAATGACATGTTTCTAGAGATAATATGATTTAGTCCTGAAAGTCAGCTTCAAGAAAGGAGGTACCTGGCAGCTCTGCTGGTTGGAATTCCAAGATAGTGCATAGCCTCACTACACAAAAATTCTCTCACTGAGGAACGAAGCACCGCTCTGCCGTCACCATTTCTAAGGGAAATAACATTAAAAGACTGTCAATGGTAAAGACAACATCAATTTTAATTAAAATAAGTAAACAAACAAAAAAAACTATACCGGGAGTATGGGGTCTTCCCTGAGCCTTTTAACTGAAGCTCCCACTTTTCACCCTGCCTTCAAAAAAAAATCTAAGTATTAGAAGATTCATGTTAATATTTAGCACAAAAGATATTCTACAAGAAAACATGTGGTACCTATTCATGTATATTCCAATAAGATGGGCTCTTCCATCCCCAAGCTGATCTGCCCATATTCCAAACTAAAAGGGAAAAAGGAAAATTAGTCATGTTTATTAATCCTTATTAGCTTTTATGGTAATGTTATAGCCAAGGTTTTTGCATCAAAATTGAGAATGGGGTATTGCATTTTGTGGATTATAATAATCAAAAACTCTAATAATGGTGAAAATAAAATTCAATCAATAAAACATAAGTGAAATTCATTTTAAAAATATAAATTTAAGACATATAATTAATTTCTTCTCATCCTATAGCAAAGCTTAAGTTTGTTAAGTGTAGAAAACTAACAGTGATCTACTTAATTCCAGAACATGAACTAGGAAAAATTTATTAGTAGAAAAATGTCCTGTATTTCCTGTATTATACATATGCAATATCAAATCAGGGACACACTTGTACCTGAAAAAAATGACTTTTGAACCTGCATGATTAACTGCTTCTTCTGTTAAAATTTGTTTGTGGTTGTTCAATTCCCAGATATGCCACTTACTGGCTGTAGAAGTTTGAGTTACTTATTTTACTGACACTGACCTTTCATTTCTATAAAATGGAATAACCCTTGTCAGATTATTGTAAAAATGAATGCTGATACATATATGCAAAATATTGTGTACTGTGTTTGACATGCTCAAGTGCTTAAAAGATAGTAATTAGTATTATTGCCAACAATTATTTGCTAACTTACATGTCACTCCATCCTCCATATAGATATAGCCTCCACCAGAAAGCTTTGTCTAAATTTCTGGGACTGGGAGAGAGGTCATCTCTTACAGTTACCCCTATAACAAGTTGATGTTATAATAATTTATTTATCTCTCTATCCACTCCCCCTAAAGTATTAGCAATTTGAGTGAAAGGGACAGGTCTCATTCACCATTATAGCTCCTGGCATTTAAAAGGAGTTCTAGAAACAGCTGTGGAATATTTAAACAATATTTTCAGTTCTAGGAGAAAAACATGAAATTGAGAAAAATTTATCCAGCATTTTAGGTTTTCATCTTAACTAGATATGTACTGCATTAATCAATTTTTAGCTGTGGAATATGTCTAAAAGCACAAATCTGAGAGGTGCTCTCAGCACATTCTGGAAAGTTCTAAAGTTAACAGTATATTAGGTATACCCCACATCATAATAGGTAAGTAGAAAGAACAGTAAATCCAGAGCTAGGACTGAAACTGGGGAACAGAAAGGTAGCTCTCTGTTAATAAAAGACGAAGCACTTACTGCACTGTAAGTTCAATGGCAAAACCATCCTTATATATGAATATTTGTAATATTTCAAGTCAGGGAGAAGCAGCAAGAGATAAAATTGATGAAAAGCTTAATCTAATTTATTCTACAACAAAAAACAGTACAAAAATAATAGCTGAGGAGATCCAAGATGGTGGAAGAGTAAGTAGAAGCTACATTAACCTCCTACCAGGACCAATATGGAATTACAACTAAACTGTAGAGAAAGCATCCTAAACAACCAGCTGAACACTAGCTGGAGAGAAGACTTATAACCATAGATACACAGAAGAAACCACTTCATCACAACGTGACTGTTAGGGAATGAGAGGGGGCACAAGAGGGCTGGCTGGGCTCCCCTGGGAAACAGCTGAAGATGTAGCACGATATTTCAGCAGCTGGGGGATTCACCCTGAGAAATGTGGAGTCTAAATTCCAACCTGGGCCCCCTAGCCTATAGCACAAAAGCCAAAGAAACCCAGATAACATCCCACTGTGAAAAGCAACAGGGTTTCCTTCTGCCACGGAGAAGCAGCAGAGAGACTCAGAGAGCCTATTACAGAGCCAACACACAAAATTTTGTTTAAAGCAACTTACCCTGGGCTCCAGCAGAGGGAAGGCAGAATGGACTAAAGACAAGTGGCATCACCCTGAGGAGAAGCAAGAGCCTCATCCACAGGAATTACTCTGCCCCACCCTTTAGAGCTTAAGCAGGGCTGCTGATTTCCACTTGATTAGCTTAACAACTGATAGTCTAATGACTAATTAGTTTAGCAACTAAGGCAGAAAATGCAAAGGAGTAGCCAAAATGTGAAGACAAAGAAAGAGACTGCAAATGAAAGAATGAGACAATTCTTCAGAAAGAATTAGATGAATGGAGGCAAGCAATTTACCAGATATAGAGTTTAGAGTAATGATTATAAGGATAATCAACAGCATGAAAAAATACATAAAAACCATAAAAAAAAAGACCAGTCAGATATAAAGAATGCAATACCTGAAATAAATAATATGCTGGAAGGAATAAACAATAGGTTAGATGAAGCAGAAGACTGAATCAGTGATTTGGAAGACATGACAGAAAAACACCCAGGCAGAGCAGCAAAAAGAAAAAACAATTTTAAAAAATGAGGAGAGCTTAAGAAACATTTTGGACAACATGAAGCAGAACAACATCTGCATCGTGGGAATACCAGAAGGAGAAGAGAGCAAGCAAGAGATCAAGAACTTATTTGAAGATGTAATGACCGAAAACTTCCCTAGTCTGGTGAAGGAAAAAGACACACAAGTCTAGGAAGCTGAGAGTCCCAAACAAGTTGGACCCAAAGAGGCCTACACTGAGACATATATAATTAAAATGGCAAGGCTTAAAGTCAAGGAGAAAATCCTAAAAGCTGCAAGAGAAAAGCAGGTAGCTACCTACAACAGAGCACCAATTAGACAGTCATCTGATTACTAAACAGAAACGTTTCCGGCCAGAAGGGAGTGGTGTGAAATATTCAAAGTAATAAAAAACAAGGACCTACAACCGAGACTACTTTACTCAGCAAGGTTATCATTTAAAATTGAAGTTCTGAAATAAGGAGCTTCCCAGACAAGAAAAAGCTAAAGGAGTTTGTTAACACCAAATCAGGACTGCATCAAATGTTAAAGGGCTTGCTTTAAGAAGAAGAAAAAGGGAAAGGGAAAAAAAAAAAAAAACCAGAAGAAAACAATCTAACAATAAAAAGGCACTACATATGTATCTATCAATAATCACCTTAAATGTAAATGGCTTTAATGCTACAAACAAAAGACAGAGGGTAGCTGAATGGATAAGAAAAAAAGACCCATATATACGTGGCCTCCAAGAGATCCATCTCAGACTGAAAGATATGCATAGACTAAAAGTAATGGGATGGAAAAAGATATTTCATGCATATGGAAAAGAAAAAAAAAAAGCTGGGGTAACAGTACTTACATCCAACAAAAAAGACTTTAAAACCAAGGCTACAGCAAGAGACAAAGAAAGACATTACATAATGATAAAGGGAACAATCCAACAGGAGGATGTAACCCTAGTAAACATTTCCACATCCAACATAGGAGCACCTAAACATGTAAAGCAAATCTTGATGGACATAAAAGGAGAGATCAATAGAAATACAGTAATAGTTGGGTATTTTAACACACCATTGACTTCAATAGACAGCTCTTCCAGGCAGAAAATCAACAAGTAGACAGCAGCCTTACATGAAACACTAGATCAAATGGATTTAATTGGTACCTTCACAACATTTTACCCCAAAGCAACAGAATATATGTACTTTCCAGGTGCACATGGAACACCTTCTAGGATAAACCACATGCTAAGAGACAAAACAAGTCTCAATAAATTTAAGAAGACTGAAATCATATCAAGCATATTCTCTGACCATAATGCTATGAAACTAGAAACGTATCACAAGAACACTGAAAAACAGGCAAAGACGTGGAAACTACATAACACGTTATTAAACAATGAATGGATTAACAATGCGATCAACTTCCGGCCAAGATGGAGGCATACGTAGATATACTTTGCCTTCTCTCACAATCAAAAGGAGGACAGCAACAAATTTAAAAACAAAAAATAACCAGAACTGCCAGAAAACTGAACTGTATGGGAGTCTGACAACCAAGGAGTTAAAGAAGAAACATTCACCCAGACCAGTAGAGGGGGCAGAGATGGGAAACCAGGGTGGAAAGGATATGCTGCAAGACTGTGGCTGGCAGAACTGGCCATCCCACATCTGCGTGAGGAACAGCTGGGGAGCGAGACAGACCGTGCAATCCAGGGTTCCAGCACAGGAAAAGAAAGCCTCAAAACCTCTGGAGGTAAAAATCTGTGTGGGTTTCAGGGGCCAGAGAAACTCCCAACCTCACAGAAGAGTCCATTGGGAAGACCCATGGGGGCCTACAAAGTGCAGAAACCCACTCATTCAAGAATCAGCACCAGAAGGGTCCAATCTGCTTGTGAGTAGCAGGGAAGTGACTGAAAGCTAGCCGAGAGTCAAGCAAGCAACACTGTTCCCTCTGACCCCTCCCCCACAGACAGTGACGTGGGTTGCCCCACCCTGGTGAATACCTAAGGCTCTGCCCCTTACAAAGTAACAGGCCCACTGGGACAAAGAAATAGAGCCCAAATGAAAGAACAGATCAAAACTCCAGGAAAAAATACAACTAAGTGGTGAAGAAATAGCCAACCTATCAGATGCAGAGTTCAAAACACTGGTAATCAGGATGCTCACAGAAATGGTTGAGAAATGGTTGCAAAATAGAGGGAAAAGTGAAGGCTATACAAAGCAAAATAAAGAAAAATATACAGGGAACCAACAGTGAAGGGAAGGAAACCGAGACTTAAATCAACAATTTGGAGCAGAAGGAAGAAATAAACATTCAGCCAGAACAGAATGAAGAAACGAGAATTCAAAAAAAAGAGGAGAAGCTTAGGAACCTCTGGGACAACTTTCAACGCTCCAACACCCGAATCATAGGGGTGCCAGAAGGAGAAGAGGAAGAGCAAGAAATTGAAAACGTATTCGAACAAATAGTGGAGAACTTTCTCAACCTGGCCAAGAAAATAGGCTTCTGGGTAGTCCAGGAAGCTCAGAGAGTCCCAAAGAAGTTGGACCCAAGAAGGCACACACCAAGGCACATCATAATTACATTACCCAAGATTAAAGATAAGGAGAGAATCTTTAAAGCAGCAAGGGAAAAGGAGACAATCACCTACAAAGGAGTTCCCATAAGACTCTCAGCCGATTTCTC